TCATTCCTGTATTTGAATGGAAAGTTATGTTAGATACTAACAAAAATCTAAAAATCAAAAAAAAAAAAATGACTCTCATATAGCATTCCAAGAAACTGAATTTGCATCTCTCTAAACTACGAATGCATAAGCAATGGAAGAATTCTACTAACCCTCCTAGAAGTGAAGCTCTCAGCTTCAAATTGATGAGAGAGAGGACTTGGAGAAGGTAACCATCGACCACTGATGCATCAACCAGTAGATTAACCTGACGTCAGAATTGTATGTGGAACATAAATCCGCAGAAGAACCAAAACACTATCAGTAGAAAAAAACAAATTGTGAAGAGAGAAAAACCTTTTTCCTGGATTACTTATGAGACGTGGCGTTCGCATATTCTCCCATTCCATAGCCTGGCACACTCCATAGTTGATTAAATGAAATTAAAAATAAAATTTAATAGTTTATTTTGCATACAAACTCTGACATTACATCATATGTAAGAGAAGATTGGACTTGTTTTTGAGTCATATTCATTTTTCTAAAAATCAACAATCTTTCTTGAGCATGTTGTTGTGGGTACTTTTGCATGCAATAACTAAGCCCGTACCTTTCCTTGTGCTATTTTTGCTAAGTTTCCATCAACTGTTAGGTAGATGTTAGGTCGCTGTTAAGGAGCATTACATCACATTCACGAGGACAGGATCTGATATGATTTTGTTTGAACATTAGAATTTTATTTTATTTCGAATAGCCATATCCTTGCAATGTATATATAAGAAACGTTGATGTAACTGAGAAACCTTGAGAAAGAATCATCTTCTCCACTTCTTTTACATTTTTAGTCTCTGATTTCACTCTCTTCAGATTAGAAAATCTGAGAATATGGGTCTTGTCCGAGGATCGGACCTATATTCTGTTCTTGTTCTTGTTCTGAATTTGGTCCTGGAACATCATTATATTGTGCTGATTTGTAATGGAGGCAAAACCAGTAGATTTGTGAGGAAACTAGAGACAACTGTTGATACGCCGCTTGATAGCGATGTTTTTCGTGTGTGTTTCTCCTGGTTATAATGCTCTTCAACAGGTAAGTAAACCTTTTTCTTTTCCAATTTTGTGTTGTTGGTTTCTGTTCATGCAACACTCTTCTTACATCTGAGACTAAGAAATTCCCAAATATACATCTAGTTTGTGCAGGTAAAAATACACACGGCACAAATGGCTCGAACAGGATTTTCCAAAGGTTAACAGAACGGAAACTCCATGGTTGATCGTTCTGCTGCATTCACCATGGTACAACAACTATGATTACCATTACATGGAAGGTGAAACCAAGAGGGTGATG